AACTCCTAGCAAACAACTAAGTTCAACAGACATAAAGGGAAGACCTCATACTTGGCAAAATTCAGATTCACTTCCAAAAGAACAGAACTCTCCTCGAAACAAGGGGCAGAGGGGAAAGAATAAAAATAAAGTACAAAGTAATTTCAAAAGAATATTTTCATTTCTCAAAAGAAGCAAAGTACAAGGTCTTCTAAGTACACAGAAAAATAAAAAAATCCTAAATCTATACAGATGTTCCAACAGTGGCTTCAGGCACATCAGAAGAAGCAGTAGGAAGAAAAGCTTAAAATGGCTCAGGAATAGAAGAAGTTAGGGGGAGGTTGAGAGAAGCCTCAGTTAGGACAAAAAGCAGGAACTTCAACATCAGTAGGGGGTAGAGTCACCTCAGAGCTCTCTACTTCTGCCTCAACAGGAACATCACCAGCTATAGGCTCCTCCACCCCAAGAGCAGTAGGAATCGGATCTCTACCTCCTTCTCAACACTTGACTTTCCCTTCTCCTTGTCAAGAGGAAGATCAAAGTCAAAGTCTTGGTCTGGACACTTCTCCATAGTCTGCTTCTGAAAGACGAAGTATCTTGCAGCCCAATTTGTAGCTGCCTCATCGTTAAGCTCTGTAATCTAAGCATCTTTTTTCAGTTCTTGACTCTCTCCACCCTGATCTCATCCAACAACATGGAATTGATCTTGGGTAGCATAATATACTCATTCTTCAAAGTAAGGAGAGAGCCAAGGACCTCAGAAGTCTCCTTCTGTGCCTGAGTCAAGTTGATAGTCTTCAATTTGAGCTCATCCTTCACTTCCTCCGCCTTAACCTCCAAGCTCTTGTTCGCTAAAGCCAGCCCTATAACTTGAGCCCTCAGGTCATGTACTTGGGCCTTGAGATCGTCATTGGCGAAGGCCAGCTTAGAGACCTTGAGCTCGGATGCCTTTAAAGACTTTTGAGCCTGCTCAGCTATACTTTCTAGAGCTTGGACCCGTTTCACCAGATCACTTATGTGAATGACCAGTTGAGAAAAGCACAGGAAGAAGTCAAGGTCAGCAAAAATTTCCTTAGCTCAAAGCAGAATCACAACTTAAAGAAAACAGGATTTACTGAAGTTGTTGCATACAAAGCGGTAATAGTAGAGGTGTGTAAAGAGATCGTCAAAGCCTCCTCAATATCGAACTCAAGAATAAATGAGGCAATGGTCTCAGCGGCAAGGCCCACGTCTCTAATGAGTGAATCATTTCCTTTCTCGACCATTGCCGATAAGCTATCCACACGCAAGCGATGAGTCTTCTCTACGGGTTGGGAAGAAGAAGGCCCTCATAGGAGAGGAACTATGGCCTCCAAAGCCTCAGCAACCTCCGTTGAAGAAGGAAAGGATGATGCCCCACCACGTCCAGAAGACCTCTCGATGAGAGGAAGGGAGACCCTTTGAGAAATAGAGATCAATGCAACTTTTTGAGAGGTCGGTGGAGGTAAAAGGATCACTTGGGAAGGAGGAGAAGGCATAGGAACTTCTATCCTCTGCATCTTTGAAGGAGGATTAGGCTCGCCTCCAAACTTGAAAATGATAAAATAAATCAGGTTAGTAAAGGAAAGTTCTAGGACGAGGAACTAGCACATGACCTCCCAAAGCAGGACTTACCCAAATTATGAGGCGCAAACCAAGCCCGAGGAACAAAAAGTGTATCAGCTGCATCTCTGGGATTATATTCTCATTCTCTTCTAGATGTGAAGAAGAAGAGCTTTTTCCACTCTTTGTGGGAGCTCGGGAGGTCAGTAATTATGACTTGGGTCTTCATCCGTTTAGCAATATAAAGGAAGCCATTAGAGGGGGTAACCTTGATATTAAAGAATTTCATGAGTAAGGGTATTGTGGGGACACTGAGCTTATTCTTCTTGAAGAAAATCAGAAGTCCCACCAAAACACCCCGAAGTTGGGAGAACACTACGTAGGGTAGACGTTGAAATATTGGAGGACACTCTTAAGGAAGGGATAAATAGGAAATCGAAGACCATTCTCAAATGAAGCCACAAAGAAACAAAATTTATTTGGGACTTCGGAGTCATATCGAATGTCTACACGAGGAGACTAGTACTGCATGCCCCTTGGGAAACCAAATCTGGCTGAAAGGACACCCAACAAAAGGGGCTCTGAGGGGGGGGGCCTGTACCCCCAACACTGCCAGAACCCTTACGCTGTTCACTTTAGATTTTCTTTTTTGAGACTCCTTAAGCCTAGGAGTAGGAGATACCGACTTAGGGATCTCAGCTTCTTCTCTAGTGTCAGCAGAATCGACACTGGGAAAATTGTTTATTTTAACATCCATATCCCCCAGGTCGTCCTCTTCTAGCTCAAGAGATCGGTTACTCTTGGTAAGAGAAATAGATGAAGCAGTGGTTTCAGAGGAAACAAAAATGGTTGGACAAGAGAAAGGAAGATTGAAAGAAATATAGAGGGGGGCAAACAAAAGTAAAGCAATCCCTAAAAGATCAGGGGTCGAGACACCAATGATCAAAGAGAAAAACTCTAGTAGTAGAATAAGGGTCCAAGAAAAGAGCAAGGAAGGACAAGAAACGACCTCGGTTCTTAAAGTAACAGAAGCGAAAAGTCCAGAAATTAAACAACCACCTCGAATTAGAGGGATCCAGAACGAAAATAAGCTTAACAAAAAGAATAAGAAGGAGCAGAGAAAGGAAACGTACCTAGCCGAGAACGATCGATAAACTAGGAGCCAAGAAAAAATTTGAATGAATTAAGCCAGCCTCGCAGAATCTTCGAAGTGAAATTGAGAATTTTTCTACACAACGCTAGATCCTCAGCAAATTGAGGAAGATGAGAGTAAAAGAGGAAGGAAAGATAGAAGAATTTGGAAAGAGAGGAGACGAAGAAGGTTTCGAAATAATGAAAGAGATGGTTATTTGATGATGCATTTAAGGCTAAGCATACAGACAGACATATGGAGCCTTAAGGTAAGGAATGTGCACGAGAAACGAGAAGAAAATGATTACATGTTCATAATAACTGTCAAAACACTTCCAATCATGCGTATCTCGAGTTCTGTCCAGGGCAACCTCACTCACCTAAGGCAAAGCTCAGTCCCAGCTCATAGAGCTCTGCTTGACTAGGGACAGAAGGGCAACAGATGGTATCGTGAAAATGCCTAAGGTTGAGCTCAGTAATGCAGATCATGACACTTAGGTCGGAGGCTCAGCTCATCTACATTATTTGTAGACCTTGATCTCAGACCTCAAACTTCCTGTATCTACAAATCGAGGAAGACTGTGTGGAGGACAGTTGGATCCCACCAAATACCCCCTTGTAGCAACAATTACTCAGCAGACGTAAATCTCGTAACCGTCCCAACATCTAATGCAACTGTTGTGCAATAAAGGCGACCATTATAAGGGAGGGGCAAGGATCTCACCTCAGATCAAACTAGACCCAAGAATTACTATAATATAGGAGGCATAACCCTTAAAAGAGACAAGCCATTGTAGCCTCACCAAAAATACTCTCTGTAAACTTCATAGTAATCAATACATTCAGGAGCAAGAGACTCACTTAACATTGGATTAATATAACTCTTGAACTGGTGAACCACTATAAACATTGTGTGATTAACCACATATTCCCAAACCCCATTCCCATGAGTCTTGGAGTTCAGACTAAACCAAATTTAACTATTTAATGCTCATTATATTCGTAATACTGCTTAATTGTGTTAAGAACTTCATCAAATTTTTTTTTTTTGGAATAAAGAAATTAAAGAAAAGAGCTCTAAGGTTAAAATTATTATTATTTTTTAATAACCTAAGTGTAAAAATGAGTTTATCAATTGAAAAACTTCATATCAAATAAGCCTTTTACCTAATTTGTTATTCAAATTTAAGTAAGAATTTGAGTACACCAAAATCAAAATTACATAAAAATTATGATTTTTTTAATTGGTGCTTTGATGGGGTGGGTCAAAAGTATGATGATCTTGTCCTTTGGACTAACACTGTTCAAAAGCTACACGTAAGTACCCACCGGGTTAGGCGATGGGCCGCTGACCGGGTGTCAAGTGCCGGCTTTTACGCGGCTACGCACTCGGACCAAAGTGACTAACTGCATGAAAATAACATCTTTTAGTTGGACCAAAAGTAAAATTTCATGGCCGATCTGCAAACACTCCCTTCAAAGAAAAGGAAAGGAAACCACCTTGTGGCTTCTACTTATTTTTTATAAGGTACAAAAAAATAATCGATATCTGATTAAAAGTTATCAATGTTTTATGATCAAATTACATGTTTTAAAAATTTATTTACAGTAGATTGAAATTATTCATAATCAATTATAAAATATTATTTATGATTAAGAATTACCCCAACTAAAAGGTGCAACATATTATTTAAAAGTTATGGATTTTATGATTGATCATAATATTTTTTGATCAATTATAATTATATTCGGAGTTACTCGTACTTAAAAATACAGTGAAAATTTAATAGGAATATTTGTGATCGTTGTATGAATATATTTGAAATAGTCGAATAAATTTATTAAAATTTACTCTATTTTATATTATAAATTTTAAAAAATTATACCTTAAACTTGTCAGAGTAGCCCTCTATAAGTTTACAGAACTAAGATTTCACTTTGTACTGTCATATAAAAAAATTGGAATCTTTATGACAGATCGTTTTTTGAGTAATTTGTAACCAATATTAATGTGAAAAGCAGAAAATCTCTTTACAATGGTTGGGGGGAATGAATACTCTGTCTCACTCAATGAAGACATTGAACATAGATGACGGTTTTGTGAATGGATTCATTGCATGTACCCTTTTCTCTCTCCTAACAATAATAAAAAAAGACCCCACCTTTGCAATAAAAGATAGATAACACGCACACACAACTCCACATACATTGTAGCATACACCCACCTTTCGTGTCTCTTTCTCTAGCTCTACCTCTCTTTCCTTTTTTTGCCCTATCTGATAGGGTTTCAGATGACCTATTGACGTTCNACACCCACCTTTCGTGTCTCTTTCTCTAGCTCTACCTCTCTTTCCTTTTTTTGCCCTATCTGATAGGGTTTCAGATGACCTATTGACGTTCTGTTTCTGATGAATTCAGTGTTTCAAGCTCTATACCTTGCGTTGATTGTGTTTTTGTTGGTTGATCTGGTTATTTTTGCTCTTGATAGAGGGTTTTTTGGGCTTGAACGCTTGAGATTTTATTTCCCTGGGGTTTTCCAACTGTACCCATGTCTGAAATCTTCGATTACAGTGGTATGATCTTAAATCTTTTCTGGGTCTTGCTTCAACTTTATGCCCTGAGTTAAATTTGCTTGCACTCTCTTTGACTTGATGCATGTGTACGTATATGTCTTCACATGTATATAGCCGCATGTTTTCTGGTTCTTTATTTGGACATGGCATCTGTCTATGCCTGACTGAATTTTTTTGGTGGTTTTATGTGATGGTTTGGTATCTGGCTTTGTTTTCCCTCTTATTTTTCGATTCTGAAATTCTGGTAGAATTGCATGAACTCGTGAATTTACAGCTCTGATAATTGAAATTTCAGAGATTTAAAATTGACGATTTGATGATGATCTGTAAAAGGTGGTAGAATCAGATATATGAAGTGTCAAAGATATATGTGGTTAGTGCCTTGCACATCTCTTGAAGTTTATGTCTTTCCTAATCTTTTTGGTTGTTTTTTTCCCCTTAATGATAAATGGAAGAAGGGGATTGTTGAAATAATATGTCACGGACAACGTTTCTGAAATTATCAGTACCCGCGCTGATCATTTAGTTTTCCTAGGAAATATAGGTATATAGTTTCATGTGATTGGAAATTATTGGCAAAAAACTCATGTATATGTTTGGAAAGAATCATCTAAAGTCTCTTTAGTTCATGGCATTATGAATTTTATGTAAAACTGATATAGTTTCATGTGATTGTAAATTGTTGGCGACAAACTGAACATGTATAGAAAGAATCATGTAAATTTTTTTGCTTCACGGCGTTATGCATTTATCCATGTAAAACTCAGATCTGTCTGTCATTGGAACTACCTGGCTTATGTAAGACAAATATGTTTGTCTGATATTGCATAAGATCTGGAAAGCTTCATACTTGTGTAGATTGAGAGGAGTTCAATTTAGTTAAGTTTTTCTAATTTCTTTTGAAAATTGTGACTCACGTTTTTTTGGATCTTTGAATTTCAGGAGATGATGTTTTTTGTCCTGGGAGGTCAATATTTCAAAATCCAAAGGAATCTAGTCTTTTTTTGTCTATTGGGCATCATGTGGATGTGTATTTTCCTCCACGCAAGAGGTCTCGCATCAGTGCCCCTTTTGTCTTCAGTGGAGAAAGGTTTGAGCAGAAGAAGCAACCCTCTATTGAAGTTCTTCCCGATGAATGCCTCTTTGAGGTCTTCAGACGCCTCCCTGGGGGCCAATCTAGGAGTTCTTGTGCTTTTGTGTCCAAACGCTGGCTTATGCTCCTAAGTAGCATTCGCAGGGATGAAATCTGTGCCAGCATAACTGCTCAGTCTGTGGAGCCTGAGGAAAGGTTGATTTCCAATAAGGCAGTTGAATCCTCGGTGTGTATCAAGAAGGGTGGGGATGTGGGTTTTGATGGTACTCGAGTTAACCCCGAGGCTGAAGATGAAGAGGTGGAGAGTGATGGATACCTTTCCAGATGCCTTGAAGGGAAGAAAGCAACAGATGTCAGACTTGCTGCGATTGCCGTTGGAACTGGTAGCCGTGGAGGATTGGGAAAGCTTTCTATCCGAGGAAGCAATTCTAGTCATGGAGTTACAAACCTTGGCTTTAGGGCCATTGCTCGTGGTTGCCCTTCGCTCAGGATTCTTTCTCTGTGGAACGTTTCTTCAATTGGGAATGAAGGCCTATTTGAGATTGCTAATGGGTGTCACCTGTTGGAGAAGCTTGACCTTCGCCATTGCCCAGCAATTTCTGACAAGGCTTTACTGGCCATTGCAAACAACTGTCCTAATATTACCTCGCTAACATTAGAGTCTTGTCCAAATATTGGAAATGAAAGCCTGCAAGCTTTTGGACGTTGCTGCCTCAACTTAAGCTCCTTTTCAATCAAAAACTGCCCACTAGTTGAGGATCAAGGAATTGCAAGTCTGTTATCATCAGCAAGTCATACCCTGACGAAGGTGAAGCTCCAGGCTTTGAACATCAGTGATGTGTCCCTTGCTGTTATCGGACACTATGGCAAGGCAGTTACAGATCTGGCTTTTACTGGCCTCCAAAAGGTGAGTGAGAGGGGCTTCTGGGTCATGGGTAATGCTCAGGGTTTGCAGAAGTTGAGGTCCTTTGCAATTACCTCTTGCCAAGGAGTCACTGATTTGGGGCTTCAAGCTGTGGGTAAAGGTTGCCCAAATTTGAAGCAATTATGCCTTCACAAATGTGGACTCATGTCAGACAATGGATTGGTTTCCTTTGCCAAATCTGCAGGGTCACTGGAGAGCCTGCAATTAGAGCAGTGCCACAGGGTTACCCAGTCTGGGATTTTCAGCATCCTTGTAAACTGTGGTGACAAATTGAAGACTCTAGCTCTGACAAACTGCTTGGGGATTAAGGATGTGATCTTGGGATTTCCTTTGATGTCTTTCTGCAAGTCCCTGCGATCTTTGTCTATCCGCAACTGTCCTGGATTTGGTAATGCTAGCTTGGCCATGTTGGGTAGACTGTGCCCTCAACTGCAGCGTGTGGACCTTATTGGGCTTCAGGGAATAACAGATGAGGGATTTTTCCCACTCATTCAGAACTGTAAGTCTGGTCTGACAAAGGTTAATCTTTGTGGTTGTGGTAACTTGACAGACAAAGTGGTTTCAGCCATTGCCAAGCTGCATGGTGCGACTCTTGAGTATCTGAATCTTGATGGTTGCCGTTCTGTGACTGATGCAAGCTTGGTGGCAATTGCAAAAAATTGCTTGTTCCTGAGTGAACTTGATGTTTCTAAAAGTTCAATCACCGATTCTGGCATTGAAGCGTTGGCTTGTGCAGCGCAGCTTAATTTGCAGATCCTTTCCCTGTCAGGTTGTTCTTTGGTAACGGACAAGAGCTTTCCTTATATGGAAATGTTGGGTCGGAAACTTGTGGGGCTAAACATCCAACAGTGCCATGAAATCAGTAGTTGCATGGTTGATTTGCTTGTTGAGCGATTATGGAGGGGCAATATCCTCTACTAAGCAGGGAAGGATATGAAGAACCCTGTAAATTGGGTTGGCAGATCTGAATGACAGGGTTGGACATATCAGAAAGTTTCAGCATTCCAAGTTAGCTCCTGTGGGAAGCAGTCGTATATTTAGTTTTTGGGTCCATGAGCTGTGGGTCCGTCCTTGTAGTCCTGTTAATGGGATCCTTTTTCCAGGGAAGATGGCCAATTCCACTTTTTTTTGCGGCTTTCCTCCATAGGAAGCTGTTGGATGAGTTTTGGCCCTCAGTGATGGGGAGTCTATTCGTCGTGGTCATACTTACCTGAGAATGCAGATGCTCGGTTCTGGATCTTTGTGATGTTTTCCAGTGGTTATACCTTCTGTGATGCTTGGTGTTAGCCTGGTGTTTTAGCTTTCAGCCTTGCATTGGTTATAATCGTGCTTAGGCTAAGCTTTGTTTACAGCTTTCGAGTCTTTACAGTCTGACTATCTGTTTTACCTGAGTCTTCCACGTTGTTGAGCATGTGTTTTGCACGTGATGTTTGGGTCTCTGCTTTCCTCTTAGGTTTGGTTTGATTTCTCTACTTGTGGTTGCTTTTGGCGGTTTCAAGTTTGGTGCCTTGTGTTCGGGGGCTTTGGCCGTGGCAGAAGGCTCTTATGGTCTGCTCTGCCATGACAACCCTTTTCCTCTCTCTCGGAGGGGTTGTTTTTTTCACCAAGCCCTTCTTTTACAGGCTTCCTTTGTTCTTGAACTGTATTATGCAACCTCCTTGTGTTATTTAATGTTTGACTGGTAAATGTGTTCTGTTTTGTAATTTTCATGAATAAAATTTCCAAGTAGTTCTTGATCCGAGTTTTGATGATTGTTTAGCTTTTGTGTTTTGCTTCTACTCTGAACCATTGTTAATCCTTCAATTTTCTTTGAATAGTTGGTATTTATAACTTTAATAAATTTGGGTGGTGATGAAGACGAGAGAAAACTTCACTGGATATCTTGATACTCTGTGCCTACTGGCAATTTCGGATTGGCATCCTCCATTTCCACAGCTGCGCAAAGAAAGTCTTGTGCCTTCCCGCCAGCTATTGCGGGTTCATGAAACTGCACTAACCAAAATCTAGATGCCGTTGGCATCGTCTGCTACTCCAAAAGCAAGCCGGGCACCGATTAGGCTGGAAACACACGACAGCGCACACACGTGAGTGGATGATAGCTTATCAATCACAGCTCAAGTCCCATTCATTGCATAGTACACTATTTTTTGTGGCTTGTGAGTCATTTCCGTTGAAAACTTTTTTGAAGGACAATCAATCAAGTTCTGCTTTACTTACTGAAAAAATTGTATTTTGTTTTAGAAAACGGATTTGACTACACTACCGAGAAAAGTTTTTTTGATATTATATCTTTATTTATCATATTTGTAGTTATTTTTTTTATATTTGTAGGTATTTTTATTATTGTTGTGGTACCAAAAAAAATAGTAAAAATAATTACCACAATAATGGTAAAAATATATACAAATATGATAAAAACATTCATAAACGTAGAAAATTACCCACNATAGTAAAAATAATTACCACAATAATGGTAAAAATATATACAAATATGATAAAAACATTCATAAACGTAGAAAATTACCCACAAAAATGACAATTTTTTTTTGTACTTGAGAAAAGCAGTAAAAATAGTTACCACAAATATAATAAAAACACCTATAACAGTGATAAAAATATTTATAAAAATAATAAATTAATCACAAAAAATGATAAATTTTTTAGTTGTAAAATAACCTATAAAAATTGTAAAAATATCTTTTGAAGTAATAAATTTTAGAGGTACGGTACCGAAATTTTTTTGATGGTACCGTAGTGAAATCCTTAGAAAACACAAGTGAAATAAGTTTAGAAGAGACNCCGAAATTTTTTTGATGGTACCGTAGTGAAATCCTTAGAAAACACAAGTGAAATAAGTTTAGAAGAGACTTGGCATATAGTTGAATTGATGCACTAGGGAAAAATGTGCCTGGAGAAATGATGAGTGAAAAGTTATCGATCAAAAGGGGATTAAGATTTTAACCTCTCTAACTAATTGTGTGCAGTATCAGATGTTAGGTGATGTGATCATGCTGTGATTTGTCTCCATTTTCAAAACCAAAGAAGATCTCAAGTCAAACTTATCGAGATTAGATTCTGATTAAATAAGTCTGAGAGAGAGATATGTTTTCACTCTATTGGATACGCTTTCTAACTACCACTGATTTCTGAATGAATTCCCCAATGCAAAATCTCAGAGTATCCATTAATAAAGGGGTAATGTTTATTTGGTCCCTTAAGTTTTAATTACAACAACTACATCCTTAAAATTTTAAACAAATTTAATTCAGTCCCACTATTTAGATCTATTAAGTTATTTCGACAAAAAGACATCACATCACTTGCCAATAATATTGTATTTGTTCAACAATCAGATATATTGATATTTTTATATCTTGTCTCACAGTATCTCTCAAATTTTTCCCGGGTTTGTTATCTTTTTCTTTTTCTCAAAATCAAATGAAACAAATTAAGCTTCTCTAGCTTATGCATAGAATTTTTTTTACTAAACAATATATCCCTTTATCTAAGTTATGTGTTTGTCACGAAAGGTCATTCTATTATAATAAATTAGTGATTCCTAAGGTAAGGAATTAAATTGAAACTCAATTAAAACTTGAAGGACCAAATATAAATTATATATTTATTTATAATTTACCCTTAATAAAATCTTGGTGACACATCTAGAGATGTCATTTGAACATCTCCACGTGAAGTTGAACATAAAATATCAATCAACCATTTAAGAAATCTAAGAACCACAAAAAAAAAACCCTAAGAACCAGAACTTGAGCTTGGACGTGACCCACAAAGTAGTGGTGTCATGTAAATCCAGGCAGTGGTTGGACAGTCTCCTCTTTATTGGGCTGGAATTCTGGTTGGTGGGGATGGGTTGTGGGAAAGAGAGAGATGCTTTGGTCAACGGTTAAGGATAATTTTTGCCCAATATTTTGAGAGCAATGCTATCGGTACCAAAATCTGTACCAAATCAGTAGTAGCCGTTAGATCCATAGGTCTCATCATTGATCCAATAACTATAATTAATTTAATTCAAATTTTGGTGTATAAAGGATTATTCATATTTTAAACCCTTTGTGCTATGGAATGAAGTACCGTACTAAAAGAGACAAGTTAAAGCATTTCTAACGTTACTTCAAATTTGAATAAAAAATTTAATTTGATATAAATATTTTTAATTAACAAATTCAAATTTAAAAGATGATAAAATATGACTATTAATTTTTTTTAAAAAATAAAATTTAACCGTTGGTGATTTAACTAAATGTTTGACTTTCCTTTGATTCACGTAAAATTTAGAGTTTCTTTTGATTCTGTATGAGTTTGTGTATAGGATTGTAGAAGATTTTTAAGCGTTTTTTGTTTAAGTTTAAATTTGGGTTTAAGAATAATAAAAAAAAATTAAAAAAGAATAAAAGTTAGAGATGCTCGAGAACTAATTATGACTAAATTGAGTTCAATGGCTATTCCATAATGTCATGCTATAATAAAAAGTTGACTAGGATGGGCTTTAAATGATCTAATTTTATACTAGTCTTGCCTGATTAAGTTGCAATTTAATTTTAATTTATTTTTTTAGTAATTTTAATACCATAGGAATAGCAAGTTGAGAGAGCTAATGCTATACAAATATATCAAATCTAACCTAATAACCTGCAATTGTGACATCCTAACATGATTTATAGTATCATTTATTAAACAAAGTCTCCCTCCCTCTCTTTCTCTCTCTTAAACGAGAGAAATGTTTTCGCTTTGTTAGACACTCTTTCCAACAACTACCAATTTCTTTGTGAATTTCCTCAACACAATCCTACAAAATTCATTAATAAAAATCATGGTATTTGAACATCTACACGTGAAGTTGGACATAAAATATCAATCTATCATTTATGAAATACTTTTGTTGAGCTGATCATTTTTTTTTTCAAATGACGTGACATTGCCGTCACCAACAAATACCATTAAAGATTTATATCGCCCTCTTATTTATCTGTCGTGATGATGTCATCTTTGTCGGTGAAACTATCAGGGCGACTTGTAAGTAGCTCGGGTCTGATTTAATTTTGGTTTGACTTAGGCTTATTCATTTTATAAAATAAGTCAAATCTATGCAAAAAATTTAGCTCGTTTTAAAATTGAGCTGTGCCCGAGCCGACGATGAGAGTCATGAGTAATCTCTCTCTCTCTCTAACCCCTGCGTCGAAAATAGCAGACGATGAGAGTCATGAGACTACTCTTGCACCCCTAAATCAAACACTTATCCGTCTTCGACAGTTCCACGGAGGCATAAATTTGTGGACCACTAGGCATCAACCCTTCGTCTCTTCCATAAGTGAGAGTAATTTATTTCTTTCATTTGTTAATTATTTTCTCTAATTTAAGTGAGTATTTCATCCTTTATCTTTTCTCTGATTTTTTTCTTCCACAGATGTGATTTTTTTTTCATGCTGCTTGACTAGTTTCTGTTGTATTTAGCTAGCCATTGTTGGTACAAGTACAAGATGGAAAATTTGGCTCATCATGAATATTTCTTTTGACACAGATGTCACATTAATATTTATATTTCATACTGATTTTGAGTGCTTAATAAAACAATGCAAGAAAAGAATGGAAGCCCAACGGATGGGATTGGATACAAGTTAGATGAGGATTGAACTTGTAGCTAGATTAGAGTTTGTAATGTTTCTGTTGAATTCAATATATATATAGATGATATTGGGTGGGTTCATGTTTAACTAAATTTAATTACCAGTTGGTCCACCAACTAATACAACTATAAAATGCACCATGTAAGCAAGCACAACTGCTCAACAACAAAATATTTAAGGAAGGTAGGTAATAGATTGATAGGTACACCCTTCATTTTTTTTAACTTGAAAAAATTGTAGGCGAGTTCGGCAACTAACATTTGTTTTATAGTTATATGTCATAGCACAATATGTCGTCAAATGCTATTTAACCTACCCAACCATCAATTTCTACACCAGACAGTTTAGGCAAGACTGTTCAAATTGATGATGCTATTGATGTTGATGAAGAGAACCTAACTACTGATGGATCATTGCAAAGGAAATCAAAAAGAAAGGCAACAGAGGTATGGAATGATGCAATTGAATTTTATGAGAAATGTGTAAGAAAGGTAAAATGCAACTATTTCCACCAAGTTCTGTCTCTTGGTAAAAGGGGTATGACTAGTCATTTGAAAAGACATTTACGTATCTGCATTGTTTGTTTGGCAGCTGTATGGGATAAAACTATGGGCCCAACTCAAAAGTTGTTGGCCCTAGAATCAATTTGTAGTGATGGGGTGTCTGGTAGTTTAACTACTCACAAGTAAGTATGACAATTGTTATTGTGCATGAGTACTCCCTTTAGCACGGTGGAACATGATTTTTTTTTTATTGCTGCTCAAAACGCTTAACCCACGTCTTGAGCCAGCAAAGAGACCGACTTTGTTGCTCAAAATGCCCAACTCTGCTGTTTGTGCTATTTTTGGTTGGTAGTGATGAATTTATTTGCTCCAAAAGTATATTTGAATTGCTTGTATTCAAACTTGGCGTTGAAAATGAGCTAAAGCTCGAATTTGGGCTTGACATTTTTCTTTCGAGTTGAGTTTGATCACCTTAGAAAATTGTGATAATTGGGGTTGAGTCATCTTTAAAGAACTTATAATAAGTTTAGTTTGTCAAAAAAATTTATTTAGAGGTAAATCTGTTTTTAATCTTACTAATAAGTAGTTAAGTCCATTATTTTTTTAAAATTCTAAAATATCCTAATGACTTAAAAACAATCTTTAATATTAAATCAGTTTCTTAAATATTCATCCCTTAATTCACGCTTAATGAAAGATTTTTTTTCCATAAAATTTGAATTTCAAATTTAATTTAGCATCACTATCATTTCTCTCACTCTCTCTCTCACTCACTCTCATCTATGTTACGAGGACCAATATGACATAATCCTTATTTTTGCCAGTTTTTGCCTTTTTCCATTGTGTTTTCATGGAAGAGTTAACTAACAAGAAGCGAGTCCCTGACGACGCAGACGAGTCACTTGAAGTGAAGAGACTCAAAGAGGACTTTCTCAACGATCTAAATGATCCGAATCAATGGAGAGCGACAGAGGATCTGAACTCCTTCATGAAGAGTTTTGAAGCAAAGATTAATGGCTTTCCATGGTGTGTGAATTTTGAGAATCTGACGTCAGATTCCAACGAGTCACAGCTAGATCTCGTGGACCTTTTTGAAGCATCTAACGATCATAGATGACGGTGTGCCTGTTATTATTATCATTTGTTGTGCATGTCACTATTCTGTTTCCATGTTACCATTTTTTGTTGAGTATATTATTATTTTTTTATGAGTATGTTAATGTTAATGTTGAATGTTATTATTTTTTTGAAATATTAATATTTAATATTTTTTTTTTGTTGACCATGTTACTATTATTATTTTTTTAAATATTAATATTTGATGTTACTATTTTTTATTTTTGAATGTTATTATTTTTTAATATTTAAATGATACTATTTTTTTGTGTNTTTTTAAATATTAATATTTGATGTTACTATTTTTTATTTTTGAATGTTATTATTTTTTAATATTTAAATGATACTATTTTTTTGTGTTTAAATGTTACTATTTTTATTTAAAATATATATATATATATATATATATATATATAGGAGAGAATTGGGTATGGGAGCGATTAGCATAGAGTTGGTGCCAGCCCTATCACAGTGGATGGTAAGGAGTGGGTGCCCAGCCACTGTGGCAGGAACTATAAGAGTATTAAGTAGCGCTTTGGTTAACACCTTAAGGTTTTAGTTCAGTGGTAAACGCTTGCACTCGAAGTAGTAACAGAATCAAGTTTGGTAGCTTAAATATATTATGTTGATTAATTGTGATTTAATTCTTTGATACTACTGTTACTTTGAACTTGTTAGGTCATTCTGTTATAATGATTTTCTTTTATTCCTATGGGTCTACACCAAAGTCGCGTGTGAGATGTTAAGCCGTGTCTGAGTGATTTGAGTAAAAGACCGTTTTAGTTCCTCGTAAATAGTTGACAACAAGAATAAGATGTAGAAGGAAATCATTATGAGAATAATAATAGCAAGGTTCATTGTACACTGTAGCAGTACTGTAGAAGAATTAGAAGATGAATTACTGTAGCAACCAGAAGAAGGTAATAGTGAAACATATAAATCAACGGAACAACCTTTGAGATACCAATATGGCGTTAAACTTGTTTAAATTTAAAAATAATCATAAAGACAATTATGTTAAAAATATGGAAGAAATAGAATTATTTTATATTGAGTCTAAATTACAGAACTGGGATATACCCCAGTACCCAACTAAGAAAATCTATAATATTTACACTTTTAATTTTAAGTCAAGTTTAACAATTAAAACGATTGAGAGGACTATTTATTTTGATCAAAATGGAGATATTTTGCAACTGTTAATTGAAAGAGAAATCTTAAAGGCTCAAAAAAATTATAAATTTTTGCATATCGGATTAGTTCAAGTTGCTTTAAAATTATTAACTCTTCAAGGATTAAATGTCTCTTTTATGTTAGCACTAAGAGATGCTAGATGTCTTGATTTTGATAAATCTTTAATGGAAGTTATGCAGTCCAGCTTAAGTACTGGTCTTATATATTTTAATTGTTTTCCAAATCTTTCTATATCTTTATTGGATAAAAATATTCTAGATGTTTTAACTTGTAATATTAAAACTTATGGTTATAATTATAAAGATGACACATATATAATGATAATTACCTATAGGGTATATTATAAAGTTATGAATACTTTATGTATTGCAGTTAAAATTCATAATCTTAAAGGTTAAACAACTTTAATTGAAACAAACACAAGTAAAAATAAAATTGAAATTCCTAAAATCATTAAATGGTCAGATACCCAGTTTCTAGCAATTGGAATGAGTGGTCCCCAAAAAACTAGAAATAAATAAAGAAGTAATTAAAATAGCCCAAACCTCTTAGGGTGATACATTTGCTAGAAATCAATTTTTAGGTTTAAAAATTTCTGATACATCAGATTCTTCATCAATATCTTATACTCCTCCTAGGAGATCCACTTCTTCTATCCCAGATCTCAGAAAAGGAAAAGAACATATAATTGAAGGAATTAAAGTTTCAAGAAATCATGTTCCTCATGGCATATATAGGCCAGATAATGAATCTTCCCTACAGGAAAAGATTGATCCAACCCCATCTGAAATCGGATTCCAACAATAGTCCTGATGGATTTACACCAAAAAAAAAATTTGTGGTTAATAGAAAACAAATTAATGAAGAATTTTATCTTCATAAATATGAAGAATTTAGGATTTTGTATTTTAAGACTATGAGTCAAGATGATCTTAAAAGATATAAGGAAATATTTTACCTTTATATAGAAAGGGAAAAAAGGATAATTCCTTTTGTTAATTAGTTTTTAACCTATTACGCTCCACCTACTATGGATCAATTAAATGTAATTGAGAAATTTTAACATAAATAGGAAACTTTGTATGGTAAAATTATAAATAGCTTTTATCCTCCAACTACTGAAGCTGTAAAATTAACTTCAACTGATAAAGGAGATATTGTATTAAATGCCTGTTATACTTCAAAAGATGATGATATAGCTAAGAATATTTCTATAAGACAAAACAATTACACAAATGTCTGTTTACATGCTATAGGACAACATTTAACTAAAATTGAAAATTTAATAAAAAAACCAACAATTTGAAGCTTCGTCTTCCATATCCTTAAAAGAGACAGACATTGAAGCAGTAAATATAAAACCTCCTGTGGATACATCTACATTTAATCTTCATAATAGAATTGAAGACGAATTTATAGATGCACTCAAGAAAAAACTATCTAATTTGTCATTAAATGTAATTTCTCAGGCTAAGAGTGAAGAGCAATCTAAAACTGAACTTCACCAATTTGAGGATTCTTTACATCACATGCAGTCTGAAGAAATAAATAAAATTAAATTTTCTAAACCAAAATCTAATGTATATTCTCAAGCAGCTCCTATGAGGCCTTATTATCCAAGACCTACTACTCAAGATATATTAAATGATGAAATACTTTTTACTGATCAAATTAGTTATGATGCCTCTTCAATATATGATTGGAATATTGATGGTATGTCTGAATATTTAATTCATCAAATTTTACATTGAATGCTAATGTATGTATCTATTTGCAAGGATAATCGAAATTCTAATCACAAAACAGCTAAATTTATAACCGCAAGTTTTACTGGCCAATTGAAGGCTGGTGGGATAATTATTTAAGTCCACTTCAAAGGCATGAGATATTAAATGCGGTAAAAATTATAAGAACTGAAGATTGTAGTATTACTACTCAAGAAGATGTTGTTTACACTTTAATACAAACTATACTAAAACACTTTGTACGATTAGGCCTGCAGAGTACCGATAAAAGTAAAGAACTTTTAATGAATCTAAGATGTTCCACTTTAACAAGTTTTAGGTGGTATAAAGACGTATATTTAGCAAAATTATTATTAAGATCAGACGCCAATAATAAATTCTAAAAAGAAAAATTTATATTAGGATTACCTAGTTTATTTGCTGAAAAAATAAGAATTTGTTTAAGACAAAAACATAGTGGATTTAAAATCTCTTATGAAAATTACACTTATGATGAATTAGTTTCTGAATGTATATCAGAAGGTTTAGCCCTCTGTAATGATTTAAATTTGAAAGCTCAATTAAAAAGGCAGAAATTAACTGGTCAAAAAGAACTTGGAGAATTTTGTAATCAATTTACCTATCATTTAGAAATACCTAAAGAAAAATCTGCAAAAGGAAAATCTTATCTTACGTCTTTGAGCAATAACAAGAAAGGAAGATTCTATAAAAGGAATCAAGATAAAGATAAACTTACTAAAGAAAGCAAATCTACCAAACCCACTAAGTCTTCTACAAATAAAGACAAGAAATCTCTCATTTGCTTTAAATATGGAAGAGACGGACATGTTGCGTCCAAGTGTTTAACTAAAAAAAAAATCAATGAATTAATAATGGATGAAAATCTTAAAGATAAGATTTTAAAAATTGTCTTAAATTCTGATAGTGAAGGTAATAAATCAACAGAAAAATCATCTTCTGAAGAAGAATATAATATTTATGAAATAAGTAATTCTTCATCTTCAAAAAGTAATTTGGAACAAGATAAAGTTTGTTCATCCCATTGTAGAGTTCAGAATAATTATTATAAAGTCATTTTGGATATGAATGGATTAAGTATAAATACTTTGTCTTTAGAGAAAATACCAATAAAAGAAAATTATTTTGATTCTTACCAATAAAAGAAAATTATGTTGATTCTTACCAATAAAAGAAAATTATGTTGATTCTAACCCTTCTGAGAGTTTTATTGCAGGCCACAAGCAAAAAGTTGCAGAGATGAATCCTAGTAAAGATTCATTTCCTTTGGCCCCTATTGCCAAATTTCTACAATTTCTTGACTGTATTTGTACCTATGTAGGTAAAGATATCTATAACTTTGCCTCTAGTTGGCATCTTAATTTTTGCAGGGTTTCACTCTGGTGTCTCTACTGCAATGTTATGGACGACCAATTAATTGATGATGTCCCTATTTTCTTATTAAGGATTGCAAGTGCTAAAAGAGACTCTTCTAAATTTCGTCTCCTTCTCGAAACAAATGAATGATATTTTGATTGGAGAATAAAATATTAGCTGGAGAATATAGTCCCAGATGAATTTATCAATCTCATAAAAGAGAGGATTGATGGAATTCAAATCTATGCATATAAAAATGCATATTATTTATCTAATGAACCTAATGCATATAAAGATGCTTACTATCTCCCTGAATAGTTTAAGGATGTTTACTATTTGCCCAAATAGCTTAAAGTTGTCAATTATCAACATTTTGAAGAAGAATCATCACATAAAGGTGATAACAATGTGTTATTATTGCTTGAGAATTGCTCAAGGGATAAAGCCCTTTTAACTATTCCTCCAACTTTAATATCATCTCCATATAGGGAGAATAATTATATTTCCTAGTTTAATGCCTTTTTAAGTAATGGTAGGATATACCTTGAACCTATAAAAAAATTATTTGACTTATATAAAGACAAAAGTTCATCCTTAAAGGACAATGATATAGTAGCTAAGCCAATTATTAATTTCTCACTCGAATTCTTTGTTCCATGGATTTGGGTGTAGACTTTGGCTTGTGATT